AGTGGAGCTCTGCTACCAGTTCACTTACCCAGGGGTGGAGGATGCTATCAATCTCTGTTCAGTCTTGCCTAGCAAAGAGATAGCAAATGTGGCTTTCCATCATGTGGTACATTAGCCAAATTAATTCCAGAACAGATAGTCTGACAGTGGTGGTCAAGGATGAGACAGATTAATGCTGCAGCCATGTCAAAATCAGCAGAGCTGCTGCTTGCTGCGTGCCAGCTCCCTGGATGCAGCCAGCCTTCTGCTCAGCAATGCCCTCCTTCTCACACTTTTCAGGGGCATTGAACACGCTGGAATCAGTGACACAGACCATTCAATTGGAAGGAACATCTGTCTCTAAACTGCGTTCCCCATTCAGCTGCCGCCGCCGCAAGTGGGTGACATTTTTTATGCATCTTGCTTCCTTTCTTTAATCTCCCAAACACAGGCACGCCTGTGGAGCACAGGAAGGTTCCTCCCCCGTGACAAGGAAAAAGAAATTAGCAAGCAGATCGAGCATGTATAGCAAATAATGAGATTGCCTTGGATACAGGACTGGAATTCATGCAAAGAATTCTGCTGATCAGAGAAGATAAGCAGCGTTTCTAGGGCCTGCAAATAGTGTCATGAGACATGTTTCTCAAGTGTTTTCTAAGAGATCCTTGGATGAGAGCTGCCAGCACAGACCTGATCCACAGACAGCGTGGTTTAAAAAATAAACCCTGAAATAGCTATACTGGTAGTTATTTTGGTGTGCAAGTGCCTCATAATGATATGCCTCATTTTTCTTCAGGCACGGGAACAAGCTATACAGACACACGCGCTGTTATGCTGGCGGAGCAGCAGTCACAAAGAAGGCTTGTCCTGATGGAGCTCCAGTGAAAGGATCCAGTGTTTGCCCACAGGGTGCAGACCCAGGACTGGTGGAGTCAGTGTGTACTTTAAAAGGAGATGGATTTATGGAATACTTTTAATAATAAGTAATTGTTTCTTATTACTCCTCTGGTATTTAAAAAAAAAACCCTAAAAATCAACATTTTACAGGCAAACAGGTACAAAATTGGTTACCTGGTGAGCAATCCAACAGCTTGATTCAATGCTTGTTGAAGTAGATGAGAGCATTTGTACTGTCAGACTCATTAAAAAGAGGGATAGTAAACAGCCTTTGTTTTTATTTTTATAGGAAATTTACTCATCCTTGCATTTGCTGTGCCTCTTGGCTGAGACTGATATTTTTCTAAGGATTGAGTAGTGTTATTCATGAACTGATGAGATCCAGGCTGTCCTTTAATGCACTTAAAGACACGACTGGTACCAGGACGTTCATGGTGAGGCAGGTACCAGGCAGCTCCCAAGAAGTGGCACACGGGCACAAGGGGTGTTTCCAAAGGCAATTAGAAAAGTTGGGCATTCCCAGTAGCCCAGTAAACCCTTCCTTGCTTGCAGCTCCAGTTTTCTGTGTTATGAGCCTGACATCTTCAGCGACAATAACATACCCCAGCAAGTTACCATCCAAGTGTTTTTCCCTTTATACGGGAAAAAAGGTCGTGGAGGTGAGTTCCCTTTGATATTTTGCCTCCCCTGTGCCACCTCCTGATGTCTGCGGGATAAAATAATGCCCCAAAGGGTGTCTCCCCCTCCTCACGCTCCCCCAAGAAGATTGCGCTGTTGACCTTTGGGATGTTACAAATATCCAACGTGCGTATTGGAATGAGTGTTGGATTTGATGCTTTGTCCAGGATGTACACTCTGCTAGCTCCTCACACTTTAATTATTTCTGTACTAGCAGCCCCCCCGGCACCACCTGCTCACTTTTGCTTTAGCACCATGCCGCTTATGAGCGGTGACACTGAATTTGCTGCAGGAAATGGCTACGGGCTTTGGAATGAGACGATGTGAATAAGGGCTGGGATGCTTTCCACGTGCTCATCCCATGTATTTTCTGAATCAGGACTCAGTCCTATGTGCTAAAGTTAATCTGTGTAACCTTTGCTATGTCAATGGTGTCTGTGCTCTGATGTAGCTGCTGGAGTCCAAGCGCTGGCAGCTGGTGTCTCTGGCCAGCTCCCAGCCTGCAATTCAATTTTCCTATCACTCACTTGAGAAGAAAGGGAAAAAAGTGTTTCTGGCTGTTTGTGGCATGAAAACATAAAGCGCTTCAGTCTACAAGGTCATTTAAGGCTTTTCTACACTGTGACACAAGAGAAAATTCAGATGAATCAAATAATGATATAAAGTTAATACACTTTCACTTATACTGCACTAAACTACAGTAAACTAGGGCCAATTTTATCCTGAATAAAAATCTCAGCAACAGGAGCCTTCTAGGTTTCATACATTAACATCACCTCTCTGAACACAAGTTAGTCTGGAGGTATTTTACCCTATTCTCAATCTTGTCAATGGTGGAAAACTACCGCAGAGCTAAAAGGCAGCAGTGATTGAGAATAAGGGGATCACCTGGAAGCGAAGAGCTCTGGTCTGTTTTCTCATACGGACCTACTGCATGACTTTTCCTATAGCATTTTCTGACCCTCAATATTTATATCTGCATAGTGGGATTATTAGTATCTTCCCTGCCATTATAAAGGGCTTTATGATCTACAGAGATATGTGGAGAAATTTCTCCTCTTCTGTACCATTTCCCCAGTATGGGCTATACAAGGAGCTTACAAAAATATGTACAGCTGTTACAAATGACCACACTTGGGTGTGTGCCTGGAGGACTGAACTCTGGTGTCAGTTATTTTGGTTTTAAGAATAAAGGAGTGAAGGAATTCACACCACCTCATATCCAGCACCATCAGATACTGGCTCCCTAGACTGACAAGGGAAAGTAAAAATTGTGACACCTAGTTAAGTACCTATAATGCATTTAATAAGAACTCTGTGTAAACCAGAATCACATGTCCCCAGGGCACAACTCTGTCCCATTAGCTGTTTGTCGGTCATGCTTATTTTAGCTGGAAATGTTATCATTTGGTAACTTTTTCATGGTTTTAAAGGTTTAAGAAGCAAGCATTTATTTCAATGTAGCCAGTAGTACATAAAAAATTCCACTGACTAGGGACTGATTTATTAGGGAACGGCTCTTGAAGAACTTCAGTGTATCAGAACTCAAAATCTCATCCCTCTTTCACATACCTTTAATAAATGTACAGCTTAGCAGCAAGACCTTGAAGGAATGCGTGCTCTCTTGTTGAGAACTCCTAACAATCTTGTCTCTTTAGTACAAAAGCTGCAAAAATGAGACCTGCTGGACAGTAAGAAGCCGGGACCACTTCACTTTTATTCACTGTCTGGGGTGTAAAGAAAAGAAACCAGAGCAAGTCCCTGCCTGCTGAAATTCCAGAGGCTTGCACTGAATTACAGCAAGACCTGGAGGCGTTTTGAATCTTTTCTTGTATGCATCAGCTCTGCACTGCTCCCAGGCAATTGTACTTTAAGTTACTTATTATTAATAAAAAAGGATTTACTACCAATAGTTCTCATTCATTTCCATGGCAATATTGCCTGAAACAAGGTACAGGACAGGGCTTTGAGTTGTATAACCAAAGTTCATAACGTGGAGGAATGCAATCCAGGAAAGGCGTTCAGACAGCAGGGAGTGACCGACCTTGCATAACCTCCCTAAGGCCCAACCTCCCTGCCTATCTAGCAAGCTGCATTCCTAATTTTCTGAAAATATTGTATGGTTTGCATTTTCAGCCTGTGTCCTCTGGGCTTCAGTCTTCAGCATGCCTTACAGCTTCCCTTAAACATTTCACCCACCCGTTTATTCATTTATATTCCTTCTAATGATGCACTGCTGGAGCTTCCAGAAGAGATGTAACAGGAATATAAACAATAATAGAAAAATTTTAAAAACCCTATTACTTTCCTCTTTTGTGTCTATCTTGTTAACATTATTCTATTTGCAGAAAACAGGCAAGACACCTACCATGACCGATTTAGACATTAAATTATGGACTTTCACTTTAATGCTTTCACTCTATCAGTAAACTCCGAGTATGTTTAAAGGTCCAAAGTTTTTTGGGTTATATGGCCATTTGGTTAAGTAGAATAGTGGCAGTCAGTAAGAATTAAAACAATTCCCAGACTCTAAAGAGAGAAGTTTTATGAACAAAGAGGAATCTGAGTGGGCGTAAATTCCTCAACCTGCTATGTTGGTAGGATTGTATCTCAGGCTTTCAGAGCAGGAAAAGGATGTTACAAGCATAATGGAAAGGAGTATCAATCAGATAACTAAATCTAATTACAGAGTTACTAGATTAACCTGTTAACTTCAGCTACATGATGGCAACCACCCAAGTGCCACAACAGAAACCAGATTCAGAGAAACAGTTTTTCAACAGATTAAACAGCTGCTTGTTTCAGATCAGACAACAGACAGTTCTTGACCAGCTTTAAAAAACACACATGGTTTGTGTAAGAAAGAACTGTAGCTGAATCACTCATTAATAGTAACCACTTATCCAGCCTTTGTAGAGACAGAATTGTACCAAAAAGATAGGATAAGGACTCTCAATTTTAGTAGGAAGATTTGTTTTCTGAGGGAGTAAGCCAGTAACAAAACATGTTCTGGGTAAACAAATTTCCTTACTAGGGTCATTGAAGGGAATGGAGGCATGGACCCCTAATTTGGAAGTCCTTATTTTAACAGTTTGTGATACAGTGATACAACTGCATTCCTTGCTTGTAGTACATCATAGTTAAACCATGCTGGACATGGTCTAGGACAGGCGGCTTTCAGACATCCCAAACGGCAAAGCACCCCAGGCAGGATGACTGCTAAGGACATGAGACAGGCAAGACGCAGAAAGATGCTCAAGCGGGCTCTGGCCAGCGGTGAGAAGAAACGTTGAGAGTTTCTTTGTTGTGTAAGTCCTTTTGTCCGAGGATTAGAGAGGGTTTGCGGCTTTTTTTTTTGCTGATTCAGGTGGTTTTTTAAAAAAATGCAGGGTAGTCATGGGTAAATTCCTCTCTTGGCTAGGATGTCGGGTGAACTTTCTTGTGACTCTTGACTTTATTGTTGGCTGCTGCTTGTGTCTGAGAAGCCGCCGTGCCCGGCTGCCGTACTCCGTAGCTGGAGTTGATAACGCTTTCCAGAAGCACTATAGATAAGGTGAGAACGCATTACAAAATAAAAAAATAAACCTAAAACGAACTTGTAATCAAACCATCTCTTGCTAAAATGAGTCTGGCCAGCAGCCCATGGTTTCATCTGCAAGTGCTAGTGCCAGTATTTTTCAATAAATCTAATTGCATTCAAGAGAGTTTGGGTCAAACTCTTTGCTGTGGAAAGCAGACACAAAGCCATGGGAATAATGTCTGTTTTGCTAGTGAATTTTTTCTGGCTCTGTTTTTAGTTTCTTTTAAGTTTTTCTTCCCAGCTATCTCTTGAGTTTCTCAAAAGACTTAATTTGATTTGGAAATGATGAAGGAATGCCTTATATCAGTGTGCTGTACTGATCCATTGTTTCTTCCTTTCTGAAAACAAGGTGTTTTCCTGGTATATTTTTAAACTACTTTTTTGTGTTTTGTTGGGTTTTTTTTAAACCAGTCCCAATTCAGGATGGCCTATAAGCAAGGCAGCCCACCTAGCATGCGGGGGAACTGGGCAGTGCTTTTCTGCCTTTAGCTGGTATGTGTCAATGTTTGGTTCTCAGCAGCAGCACAGGAAGTCTCACCATCCTGATGAAAGAGTCACAGAGCGTGTTGAGGATTTGTTACTAAAAGTGAACTGAAAATGTGCTAATTTTGTCTTTGGAAGAAATAAGTCATTTCTGACAAAAATATACATAGCTTTTCGGGTCTCATTGCATCTTCCAAGGGGAAAATAAGTCATCAAGGAATTGTGAAGGATTTCCTGTAGAATTGATAGCGTCGTATCACGAACATAATAATTATAAGAGAGGATTGAAAATGGCTTCTTACATTTGACAGATGGTTTTAAAAATTTCTTTTTCAGGTTTGAGTTGGTCTTACTAACTGCAGCTATGGTGCAGAAGTATCAATCCCCCGTACGGGTGTATAAACACCCTTTTGAGTTAATTATGGCTGTAAGTATTATTTTTTGCTGTAATTTTCTTCCTTGACAGTTCCTTCTATTGCTAAGTACTTACTGGGCTCTGTTTGATAGGAGCTGTAGAATGTACAAATTTTAAACTATATACAAAATATGAGAGGTATGTGTTTTGATGGTTTGTTCTCTACCCAGAGTATTTTTTTTCGTTTTCTCCCAAAGCTTAGATATAGTTCATATTTTTATTTTCAAGTTAGAGCAAAAGGAGACTCAGAGCATCCTTTGCAGTTGATTCTATTCTAGCATGGGAGAAGGTGTCAAGTATGTTGATTAAAAGACTGTTGTGGTTGTGTCTTCATCAGTATAGAGCTTAAAGGACTAGAGAGCACAGAAAAAGCCATGAAAGGAAGGATAAGTGAGGAGAAAGCATTCTGAGCATTGGTAATACTTTGGGGGAAGGGAGAAAAAAAGATTTCTAGGGAGGCCAGAGAGATGAACAAAAGCCTCTTGGATGCACGGCTGGCAATTTATGTGCTAGTGTTACAAATAGTAACCAAAATGGGTTCCCTCTTCTTTCTCCTTCTCCCCCTCTGCTTCCATTTTTTCTTTTAGAAAACAGAAAGGAAGTAGGTATTTGATATTTTAAAGTATATTCAGCCAAAAGCACAGCTGTGTGGCTCTCATGAGTTACAAAGCGCAGCAGAGGAGAGCAGTCAGGTCAGCTTCTTACCTGATACAATCAGTTAAAACTAAATAATAATCTAAATAGTAATTGTTTTGTTTCACTTGCTGAATATACTATGTTTAATGGCTTCAGAGGAGAGCTTTAATGGTGTTCATAGTGTAAATATTTAGATAGATCATATGGTTTGGAGTGCAAAGTTCCTTACAGAAGTGATCCTTTGCAGTCATGGGGCAAAAAAGGATTAGATGGCTCTACGGGGAGTATTTAATTTTCTTTTCATCTTATTCCTAAAGCTGCCTCCAGTGTTACACATGCAGGTCTTGCTCTTGTACACACTTCAAGGCAGTGAGTGGTTATTTTCATGAGTGGTGAAGAATCTGACTGTGATCTGTTTAAGGTCTTCTAGGACCTTACTACACTCTTGACAGCTAGACTTCAGAGGGTTTCTATTTAAATTTGATTGTGTGTAACTTTAGCCTTCAGTGAAATATACTGGTTCTTGTACTTAGATCAGTCACCAAAATGAGTTTCTTGGACAAAATTCCCTGGCTTTTTGCTGAACTAGCGAGTCTTTACCTTGCTATTGAATTGAGGGCAGAAATTCTTCCTAATATCTAGTGTAAACCTTCCCTGGTGCAACTTGAGGCCATTCCCTCTTGTCCTGTCACTTATTACTTGGTTGAAGAGGCTCATCCCCAGCTCTCTTCAACCTCCTTTCAGGTAGTTCATTAAAGGCAAGCTACATAAAATCACATACAAGCTACTTCCCCTGATTTACTGGCAAATTGTGTGGTTCTAGATAATATCTAAGTTGCTTTAAAAACACTAAGAATTGCTTGCAAATCTTTTAATAAAACTATCTCCCGAACTTGAAAAGATTCTAGAATTGTACGTTAGAAATTACCACAATTTAGTCTGACACACTTAACATGGGCAATACAATTTCACCAAATGGTTGCCAGTTCTGACATGATGACTTTTGGCTGCTCTGTTGCATATCTGTCATAATCAACTTCTTGAAAACTGTGTGTGTATGTATATATGTATATTTTTTAAAAAAGCAGCCAACAACTTGCACAGCTGTTCATCAGACTGAAGAGAATCTTGCCTTGTTTTTCCTCCTGTTAATGTTGAAGCTTACGTAATGCTGGAAGCAGCTGAAATGTGAAAAAAATGAATGTTTACTTAGACTCACTTGTCAAGTTACCAAGGTTAAATATATTGGAGAAAAACTGAGAAGCTGCTTTTACAAAACTTAAAGATTATAGGTTCAATTTTTTGTTAGAGGTTTACATTTAAAGTAATATAGGGCCTTTGCTGAGTAAGTAGTTCTTAATGCTAAAAGGCAGTTAAGAACTTGAATCTTTCTTAACACACAGGAGGCTAAAATTAACTTTGGAGATTCACAGCTCATTTTCAGTCTGACATGCATTAGATGATTCCCCTTGAGTTTAATTTCCAAAGTAAATTTAAATAATGAATAATCAGTTACTATGGCATTCCGAAGGTGGAATTTATGCAAATGGAAAATAAGTAGGATTTTGGAAAAAAAAAAAAAAAAATTTAGTTGAACTATTGACCAGAGGGTTGTTTTTTTTTTAGTTTCTGGAAGCTCTGTGGAAAAATGTATTGCTTCTCAGTCCATTTAGAAGATGTCCTATTTACAGCCACAAATTACTTAGTTTCAGAAATAAATATGAATAGTAACGTGACAGAACAGAGCAGGTGGGCTCTAAACCTGTCCTGGTACATTTAGTCACATTAACATAGATTTTAAGAACTCGTGGCTTTGTGAAAACTAAGGTTTTCAGATCTGACTATGACAGGAGACAGACTTTCAAAGGTACTTTGCAGTCTTTTGGATACCTAAAATAATGTTTTGACTTTGTTATAGTTCCTGGCATTCGTCAGCTTCTGCTGATGCCAATGACAAGAAGTCTGTAGGTAAACTAGTCATCAATGTCAGGAGCTTGCGGTTGTGGAAATAATGCATTTAACTCTTATTTTAAAATCAAAATTGCAATTAATCATGCACTGTCTTCAGGCTGAAAACTTACTTCCTTCCAAACTATGTATTCTCATAAAAATCTTTTTTTTTTTTT